CTGTCAGCTTCTCATTATAATGTTAACAAGCCCAGTGAAATACTAAGCTAAACAAAGTTTTTAAAAATAACATTTATAATTATTTTTCCCCAAAAAAAATAAATCTTCTGTGTTAATAATATTATAAATGCGAATATTTAGATGGTTGGATGGATGTTTGAAGGTATCTCCAGAAAGGCTGAATGGATCTCAGTGAAATTTCTTATATATATAGAGCATAGTCTGGAAGAACACATAGGCTACTTATAAAGTTCTATTTTAATTCCACGCGGACGGAGTCGCGGTCGACAACTATAGATTAATAAATAGTGTTACACGAATGTTTTCTACTAGTGTATGTAAATATATTTTTGTTTTGTTCAAAAGTACTGTATTGAATCCAATAAAATGAAATCACCAAAACAAACTCTATCAAGTAATTACAATTTGATAGATATTTATTTAGTTTATTTATAACTTCAAAAAGCACACATGTTACCTACAAACAATAAAATGAAAATCCTTTTACTCGAAAACCTCTTCTGTACACAATTCCTTTGTTATGAAACGTGGTTACATTGAATTAATATAGCAGGTACACGGTTCGGTATTTGATATTTTATACGTCACATGTGTGTTTCAATACAGTTTCCATTGCCGAAACATCTGTACGAAAATGTATTGTTCTTTCATGTTTTTCAATAAGACTGATACGGATGTCGATATGTTCTACGCATTCGGCAGTGAAAACTTAAGTTAACTTGACTCACGAACATTTTAAATTTTAAACAAATTTTCTAAGGAAAGATTTGTCAACTAGCTGCCGCCTACGAATCCGTTCGCGCGATATTAATAAAAAACTTAATTATTATAGTAAACTGTTTCTACAACTATGCCAATTTCAGTGAGATCCATGCAGCTATTCTGGAGATACCTTCTAACAAACATCAATCCATCTAAACATTCCCTTTAATATTAATATAATTGTTTCAGATTCGAGATATCATACAGTCGACTAATAACTCTATCCTCTGTAATAAGTACCAAGTAAATGTAACTACAACCGCTAGTGTTTTGTGCGAAAAATTAAAAAATCTTTAACAGTGGTAGAGCCCGCTTTAACATCTTCGCACGAATCGGCCCGGCTCGCCCGGGGAAATACCACGACTACACAGAAGACAGGCGTCAAGTGGAAGCAATTCCGCGTTTCGTCTGATGAGTGTGCGTCCCGGAGGCCTAATTTAGTCCTCTTTCCCTTCCCACCCTTTTTCTTAGAAGGAAAGGATGGGAAGTGGAAGTGGACTTTCCGGATGAGAGGATGCATGGGAAGGGAAAATATTTTCTTTCTGTGCATCCTCTCCTTCGTCGATTAAAGGTAGGCAACGCATATGCAATTGCGTATGTCCATGGGCAACGGTCACTTCGCTATTTCAGCGATTTCAGGTGGCCGATTGCTCGTTTGCCACCTTTTGATATAAAAAAAAATGCCATGGTATTTATATATGCGTCATCTCAGTTCTAAGTGTATAAAGCAACACTAAGCAAAGAAAACTAAATATTAAGTTTATAAGATTATTTCACAACGTTAAAAGTTTCACACTATATAGGAACGCAGTTATGACGTCATCGAATACACATATCATGTTTTTGTGTACTTGTTGCAACAACAAATTTTGTAAAAAAGAAACTTAGTAGATCAATGTATCATGTTGCATATTATTTTTGAATTCCCGTGACGTGTTCGTACGTGACATGCGTTACAACAATAGACAGGAATCAAGTTTATTTTGGCAAAGTATAGTTTGTTTGTTTAGTCCCTTTTGTTTCATGTAGCGTTGGCTGGATTACAGACATAGATTATATCCAATGTGCGAAAGCAAACATTGGGGTGATATTAAAAGAAAACATTCGGCCTGTGGTACACGAAGATATTATTCTTGTCTTATTATCTTAACCTAGGTCTTCTAGTTTCATTATTGGCAAAATTAGAAGAATAATCTTACTAATATTATAAATATGAATGTTTATATGGATTGATGGATGGATGGATGTTTGTTTGAATCTCCAGAACGGCTGCATGGATCTCGCTGAAATTTGACATAGATGTAGAACATAATCTGGAAGAACACATAGGCTACTAGTTGACATTTTAATTTGGCGCGGACGGAGACGCGGGCGACAGCTAGTACAATTAATAAAATTAAAGTGCCTGAATGTAATATCGAAAAGAAAAAACAAATTTCACGAACGTTGTGTAGTTTTGATGCTTACAACAAAAAAAAACAATTTTTTGGCCTGTTTCCTGGTATTAACCTAGGTACCCATTTTTGATGTGCGACAAAGTCCGTGGCAACTTCTAGTGTTTAATTTTAAATGATCTCTATTAATAATAATATTGATTTCAAGGTCATTATCTCCAAATTTATACTATGAAAATACTTTAAGATGTATGAAAGCGCGATGTATAATACATTCGATTTTAAACGAAATAAGATTCGAGAAATTACCAGCAGACATCGAATTTCAGATTTCTAGTTTTCTACTTTACGTTACTAAAATTAAATTTAAAACGTAAAACTTAACACTGTAATATAAGTTTATATAAATGCGGGTAGTTTATAAAGTCGGTAGACCTTACCTGTTTGGGACTAATCACGTTGTTACGGGCTGTTAAAACTTTCAGTTTGTGGCATAACTCTACGGAGGCACTTTGTTAACTCTAATGTAAGGTTAACAAGTTATTTGTATTTAATTTGTGGTACAGAAATGCATTTTCTTATTAAAAGATTTTTCAAGAACGTTAATAAAATGTAGAATGTAATAATAGCTTTAAATATCTATAATTATGTACATTAACTTATGTAAATGTAATTTGAAACAAAAAAAAAGGAAAACAGAAAATTTTATTTTTAATTGGCTGTCTCAGGCAACTTCCTCCGCCCGAAATAAAAAAAGAACTTAATTAGTAGCCTATTTTTTTTATATCATATGGTAGCAAACGAGCGAGCGGCCACCTGAAATCACTGAAATAGCGAAGTGACCGTTGCCCATAGACATACACAATTGCATATGCGTTCTGCCTATGTTTTCTTCCAGACCATGTCCTATATCTCCATCAAATTTCAGCAAGACACATGCAGCCGTTCTGGAGTTATCTTCTAACAAACATCCATCAATATAGCAGTGTATGCACAAATGTAGAGTGTGTCTCGAGCGTACACGCTCCAATACATGCCGGAGAGAGGGGGCGTCATTCGATGTCAGACCTTTGGACCGGCAACACGTGTCGGTACGTGAACGTGCCAAATATAACACAACTAATGCTACACAGCCATACAAACATTTTCCTATCTAAGAGTAAGATTAAGAAACGCCAAAGCAAAATTACCAATCATATATTGAAATATGTATGGCCATACATACATGTTCATACAATTTTAGACTCAGTACACAAGGTATATTTATGATACACAATTTGTAACTCACCAAATATTATTGCTCTAACTTCGTACGGTACTAAGTCAAACTTTAAATTTGCTGGCCAATTCCAAGTAAATTTACAAACTACACTGAGGCTTGCTAGCTCAACATTCGCTAGTTGTTAACTCAAATATTATAAGCTGTGTTTTCCTAACATTTAAGTAGTCACTAGTTTCCGCCCGCAACTCCGTCCGCGCGGTATTAAAAAAGCTTAGTAAGTAGCCTATGTGTTCTTCCACAGTATGTTCAACGTTTACGCCAAATTTCAGTGAGATTCATTCAGCCGTTTTGGAGATATCTTCTAACAAACATCCATCCATCCGAACATTCGCATTTATAATATTAGTAAGATTGAATGTTCTCGGAATTATCAGTCAAAGTACTTCAACAAAAATATTGCCTTCTTTGTGTTACTTAAATCATAGTATACTTCCGTATCACATGATTTTGAAACACCCTGTATAACCCCCGATTTAACAAATACTATCATAGTGTGGCCTTCATTAAACCATAGTTACTTTGTATTTTAATAACATAAAGCTCATAATTTATGTTAATTAAGAAAAGTAGTTAAAACACCGTATCCCGTACCCTGGCAAGTGCGTGTATGTACACGTTAATGTTAACGTCTCATACGCCAGGGATCCATTAGCTAATAGGACTCTGAGATATAATTTACAACTACCCATATGTTTATGTATTTTATAGTAAACTTTGCTTTAAAAATATACTACAAAATTATATTTAAAATTATTGTGACTCGATTTTATTTTTACCATTACTATTTATCTCATATTGTTATTTTCATTTGTCTGATAGTGGATTTCTGAGACCAAATTCGCTGTGTAAAAATCTACATCTGTTATTCGTTATCTCTGTTTTGTCAAAGAAAATTTTAGGGATGACTATATATTTAATACAGAAATTTTGATCTCAGAAACCAACGGTGAGTCATCTACCTCACGGACTATCACTACCTATAAAAACGTACTCTTTATTTAAAGGTCAAAATGTTCATACAATTGTTTTTATTTACGCTTTTAGAAGGTGCAAACACAAATTTTACTCTTCATTTTTCTCGTCAGATTCATATTGCAATAAGCAATAATTGAAACACTGATTATTTATTAATAAATATTATTTAATAACAGTATTATTATTAGTATAGTAGTAGTAGAATATGACAAAATATAGTCAACTTAAGTTATTTTAATTAAAGTAACGTGATTTGTAATTAAAAAGTATGTACATGTATTACATTAATTAAATGTGTATTTACAATTTCGAATAAATATTAAATGGTTAATTATACATAACTACAATAACTTTGAATTCTAATTTAATATTTTACTACTCTAATTTAATATTTCAAAAATATGTATTCAACTTAGCACATAATTACATTTATCTAACGACTATATTAAATATTATGCTTTTAAAAATAACAAAAGCTTTAACATACTTTACTAAATAAGAAAAAAATTAAGTACAAAGATTATCTAAAATAATTTATCCACTGGAGAGAGCTAAAGATATGATTTTATATCTTAGTTTCAAAAACTAAGTCCCTTGTGAGATAGAACGTGAGTCTGACTTACAATAGCATTGTTAGCCCAACACGTATAGTCTATATGAGCCACGCTACGCGTCCACTTCTCTCCCTTTCTTCGTTAGGTGGGGACGCACTGACGAGTGGAGCGGGCGCTGTAGCGGTTGGAGCTTCGCTCACGCGACGTCGAGTGAGCGGAGGCTCGCGTCATGCGCCTATGTCAATACGCGCACACACCGCAGCGCTGACGAGGGTTACCAACGCTAAAGCGATTTGTACCGACGCTATCACGATCAAATCTCGTGATGGAGGTCTTGCTTCATCGTCTGAAGATACGCTGCTACGAAAAAAAACGTTAATCATGTTAATTTCATATTTAAATCTCGATAAATTAAGATTTAATTTAGTGCATTTATAATCAGTTACTTCCATTACAACTGGTTGTTTTTTTTTAATATCACCTCGTATTTATATAAAGGCTATAAGTTTTAACGGTAACGGCCTCTACAAACAATAGTGAAAGCTACTAACTTGTAATCAGTGCCGGTTGGATCAATGATAGTCCTGCAGCACTGCACGATGAGCGCGAGCAGCAGGCAACCCGCTGCCGCCCACAGCACTGCGGCCGCGCCCGCACCCAGTGCCGCGCCCGCAGCACTCCCCGACAGCGCGCTCCAACCACGCGACGTGTGAATTGATACCGCTACAGTTTCACAACCAATGAATTGTTCAAATACACAGTCTTTTTAAAAAACTATGTCTTAGAGGTGTAGTCTGTTTTTTTTTTTTTAAATTTAACAACCAGTGTTATTAGTTTTTATCTTACCCGCGGCTAGAACACTGACGCAGCCGGCGGGTATGCCGAGGCCCATGTTGAACTTCTGCCGCTCCTCTATGAAGGCCACGCTGCCCATTACCATAGCTGATATACCGCATACTATCTGCAAACAAATCTTACAAATATTATAAATTCGAATGGTTAGATGGATTGATGGATGTTTGTTTGAAGGTATCTCCAGAACGGCTGAATGGATCTTGATGGTATTTGGCATTCATATAGAGCATAGTCTGAAAGAACCCATAGGCTACTAATTATGTTTTTTTTTAACTTGTTAAATGTTAATAGGTTATACTTGTTACCTGTAGTACTCGAAGCCTTAAAACGATGGCTAAGGGATATGAAAATCCTCGACGAAATATGCTCCCATTTCTTTCTCCGGTGAGCGGCGCGACCGACTCTTTTCTTTGAGATAGAGCTGTCTGCAAATATAAAACGTGTTACCGTTTAATTCCATTGCCCATAATACATAATAAAACATATTATTTTGTTACGAGGAAATCCACTAATTAATCTTTATTTATAATTCACTAATAGGCATCATAGTTGTGGCAGAAAACAAAATTTCTTAAGATTTAGCTTTGGCTCTGTTAAAGCTATGATTGCGTCACAACAAATGAATTGTCTTTGATCACTTCTTATGCCAAAAACTATTCCTTCGTTTCATTTCGATTTATCTACATTTCATCTTCAGTTTATACGATGTAAAGTAACAATATTTATAGTGTACTTTTAAAACTTGTGAATAAAATATATTTACAAGCTTAATTTTTCTAAATTTGTATTTTACTATAAATGTTTCTCTTTTATTTTATCGCTTGAAAATCAAATATTTTACAATATTACTTGTTACTAATACTATAAATACGAATGTTTAGATGGATAGATGTTTGTAAACGGCTGAACGGTGAACTCTAAATGACTCGATGAAATTTGGCGTACATATAAAACATCTGAAAGAACACATAGGCTACTAATTATGTTGTTATTTTATTTTGTGCAGACGAAGTCGCGGGCTACATCTAGTACAATCATAAAATTAGATAACTGTCGTACCACATTCAGCTCCTCCATGTCGTCACAGTTGTAAGGCCTCGCGCATAATTTACGCTTCATACGTATTGAATTTCAAATGTCTGCGAGGAAACTCTCCCAGATCAATAGTATCTTGACATCTGAAAGAAAACCAATCTGCAGAACAAATATTTTGTTTGATTTAGGTCAACAAATTCAACAAATTGAAGGTTTCTTCCTCGTAAAGAGCTCAAGGTACGTGGGATACGTGTTTCTTTTACTATGACAAATCTAATTTGCTTGCTTGTTGATATAAAAGATGTTTTTTTCATCCTTGAATATATCTTAGAATACATAACACGATTCTTATAATCGTCATTCTTCTATTATCTTATATAATATTATATATAAAATTCTCGTGTCACAATTTTCGTTCCCATACTCCTCCGAAACGGCTTGACCGATTCTCATGAAATTTTGTGAGCATATTGAATAGGTCTGAGAATCGGCCAACATCTTTTTTTCATCCCCCTAAATGTTAAGGGTAGTCCACCCCTAACTTTTTATTTTTTCTATTTTTTAGACAAAAACGCGAACGGAGTCGCGGGCGTAATAGTAGAAAAAACGTACAATAATTTTGGCAATTGTAGCCCTAGCAGTATGGCTTCTTGGGTCTTTAATGTCTAATTGGTTTCATTACCACGCCTTTTGTGTAGTCAAAGGTTTAAATTAAATTTAAAAAAAATCATAAATAATATATAAGGAAATAATTAAATTTTCGTAATTTATTATCATAAATATATGTTTTAGCCGTTTTTATATAAGATTATGAGTAAACAACTTGTGATCAGATTTTCCATATTTTAAATGGTAGAGCGTGAACTTAATAAAATATTTATTAACGCAAACCACAAACTGAGCTCACCAATTTGCTAATGGATTTACTGCGCAGTCAAGTGTCACTGCCGTTAATTAAACTGTCAGTTTTGTAAGAGAGCTATGAATAAATAATTTATTATAATAATATTTATGTTAATAAAAACACGATATTACGAAAAAGTCGTCAATTTACACTATCGAAACACTTATAAAAAACATATTGCTATCTCTGTTCTACTAAAGGAAAATGACAAAGAAGACGATATGTTTTTGGATAAATATTACATCTGTAGAAACCCACGGTCGTCATTAAATCTCATTCAATTTTGAATGTCAAGTGATATTAGTGAGTACGTAACAATAAAAGAAAGATTGGGATAAAAAAAAACATTTCAGTTCCCGAAGGTGAATGCGAAGCTATCTTGTTTTAAGGAAACAAAAAAAAACATTTTTCTTTTCTTCTAAGATACACTAATAATTTATTTATTTCATAATAGTCTTTAGTAAATAACTAATATCGTTTTTATTTACCATTGGAACTCGAAAGTTGCTTATCAACAACTCGAATACAATACTTTATAACAATAGAACCAAAATCACCACAATTAAGTCTGTTCCGGCTTTAATCGAGAAACTTTTGCACACAAATTACGATATTTTGCTGCGCAAATCACAACCGAGTAGCTCATTAATGCTATAAGGTAGAGTACTAAAGGTTGATTACTTTGGAAATGGAAATAATTTAAGGGGGAAACTGAGGGTAATTCCTAAAAATTACTTTCTAAAAGCTCATTTTGTCTTCAAATAATACTTTAGAAAGTCAAATTAAACTCTTAATACATTGTTTACTTCGTTAATATCTATACAATGGTGAATCAAAAATCTTATGAGTGAGATTTTAAAACAAACTCATTATCACTATGTCTCAACTTATCCACAGTACCCAAGATAGAAAGTAATATGTTATATTCCTATAATAATATTATTAATACAAATGTATGGATGGATGTATAAGGAGGTATCTACAGAACAGCTGCATAGATCTCGCTGAAATTCGGCATAGATGTAGAACATATTCTGAAAAAGTCATAGGCAACTAAGTTTTTTTTTTTTAAATTAATTTAAGTTACGATTACATTTCAAAAACAAGAAAAATATAGCGACACTTTATAGAATTTCAATATGATACCTACTTAAAATTAGTCTTTTCAACGAAAGAGAGCAACAACATATACTCTTGTATGTTGACGAAAAACTCGTGACATATTTTTGCGAATCATTATGAGCTTGGGTTTCTTTTGTTTATAGAATGCTTGCGGTTTTTTTAAAATTGTATGAATAAGTTATTTTTATATTTACTAATTTTAGTAATTAACTAGCTGTCACCGGAGACTCCGTCCGCGCGGTGTAAAAAAACTTAATAATAGCCTATGTGTTCTTCCAAACCATGTTCTACATCTATCCCAAATTTCAACGAGATCCATACAGCCGTTCTGGAGATACCTTCAAACAAACATCCATCCAAACATTCGCATTTATAATATTAATAAGAAGTAAGAATACTAAGATTAAAAGTTGATCTTGAAATGCTTAAACAATGTAGCGTAGTAGAAGAAAAATAACTTTCTTTCGTAATAAAATTTTTCTAGAGCATATTCCAGTCAAGTACTATCAAATTTGAATAGAACTGACTGGCATTTTATTACTTTTATTTTATATGCTGCAAAAATTCATGAATATTTAAGTTAATGAAACACTCAGAACTAAATTACGAGTATAAATGCTTTTTCACACTTCATATTACAGAAATAGAGCCAAAACTAAACGTACATCGCTTATTTATCCTGTTTGCATTGCTCTTAATGACAATAACATACTTCTTAGTTCTTAAGATATATTTGTCTAATGTTTCACAGTATTAGTGTTACTATAAAGGTTTTTTACATAACGTAAACTGAAATAAGTAAGCCGGACATTGTCCGCCTTTTGAACCTATGAATCACTGTACTAAGTAAAGTCGAATCTTCTCAACCACGATGACTAAAGTTCGTTAAAAGACATCAAAGAAGTAGAAAACAACAAACTCTTTTATATCAACGCTATAATCCTATTTAATTTTACAACCACAATTTGAGGTCTTTGATCTCCTAAATGTATCGTAAAAATTAACGTCCTCCTTCAAATGATACTTGAAGTTTTACCAAATGGTGATAATAATTGGCATTTAAACGCTATTTTATTTGCCACTTCAAAATTTAATTACGAAATAAAAGGGTACTGTGGCGAGATTCTAAATTCTATTTAAGATATTTTAGACAAAAGATTTAATGGAATTCTTCATCTTATGAAAAAGCTTAGCTTAGTTAATGAAAGGACTTATTAGATTTGTTATCACAATTTTAATAGGATTAATTGAATTCTTTAACTGTTTGAAAATTTAATAAAAAATCAGATATTCGTATTTGCTTTGTTATCTCATTGTGTTCAAGCCTTGTGGCCAAGTCAACCATAACTTAGGGTAGGCTCCGAGCCACTCTGTGTGCGAAGAGTATTCACATGTGTCCACACCCCGGTAAACAGTGAGCCGAGGGAACCAGAGGGGGTTTAGTGCGTAGGCTCCTTGTCCCATTAGGGATGTGGAGAGAGTCCCATATAACCGGAGTGGCTTTCCCCGAGGCGCCTGGTATGCGTAACGCATTCACCCTCTAAAAAAAAAAAGCTCCGAGCCACCCATTGGGAACCTATAGTGAGCTGATGATGATTATTAAATTCGATTATACAACTAAGAGGGATGAGAGGGGGCGAGATGGTGTAGATCCTTTCGAATTCAATACGTATGAAAAATTATAACAAATATATAAAAAAATATGAAATAACATACGAACTGATTATATCTTACTAATATTATAAATAAATGCCTATGTTTAGATGTATGAATGTTTTGTTGAAGGTATCTCCGGAACGGCTCAACGTATTTTGATAAAATTTTGCATATATGTAGAACATAGTCTGGAAAAACACATAGGCTTTATATAAGTTTTCTTTTTAATTCCGTACAGACAGAGTCACAGGTGACAGCGAGTTCCAAAATAAATCAATATACAATAAATGATATTGTCAGCCAACGAGGTGTATAAATGAAACTTCTCATTTCCATTGAATTCGTCTAAAGGTTAATTATATTCACAATCGGACAAAAATATACAAAAACCATACAGATAACAATAGAAACAAGAACACGCCTTCAACAAAAAAAAACGTTACATTTTTTCCAGAGTTAATTAATATAGATTTTTATTAAAACACATTTTTTCACTACATCTTTCCAGATATAAATAAGGTTTATTATCTTATAATAAAACCTATTATTATACCCCATTTGATATTTGTCTTGATTGGACCCTTTCAATTATATTCGGCTTTCATTCGTCTTCATAAAATATTTACGACTCGCACTCTATCCCAGTTACGAGTCGTATCTCAAACTATTCGAACCATTGATATATAAGATCTTCAATATATATATATATATATGTATATAGATGTCGCCCGCGACACCGTTCGCGCGTAATTAAAAAAAAACGTAGTTACTTATGTGTTCTTCCAGACTATGATCTACATCCATGCCAAATTTCATCGAGATTCGTCCAGCCGTTCTGGAGATACCTTCAAACAAACATCCATCCATCCACCCATCCACCCATCCATCCTGCCAAATACTCGTTTTTATAATATTAGTAAGATTATAGCGTATTTAGTTGTAGACAAAAGTTATTAAAAAAACATAGCTATACATATCCACGCGGACGGAGTCGCAGGCGGCAGATAGTATAATGTATTATAGCAATCCTATAGGTGTTTAGTTTTCACCAAACTTATTTAGATTTAAAGCTGGCAATCAATAACTGCACAACTTACATAATTATATTCTCTTTAAAAGAAACTGAAATAATATATTTCTAATATTTAATCTGTGGAAAATCAAAGGTAAGATTAACATATTATATCTCAAATTACACTTCCGTTTGTTTTGTTCCTCCATAATATGTATAATAGCAATAATTTTCAGAGTTTTCATTGTTCATGGTCTTCGTATTAATTAACTTTTCAACTCTTTCATCATTTGCATATATTATTGTTCTATTTGTAAAGAATATTCCATTTTATTAATTACGTGTACTATTCGAAATAATGCTTATAATTTTATGCTTGTTAGTGGATGGTTTCTCGTTAAAACTAAACTTAAATGACTACCCACATTATTAAGCTTAGCATAATTATCCCTAAGGATTATGGGTTATTCATATTATCATTTTATATATTAGAATAAGCAGGAATTGAAAATTGAAAGCTTTTGGTTTTCGATATTATTATATCTTAATAAATAATTTAATTTATTCAGTACCAAGTTTGGAACACTGCAAGCGCCTATATCTATTGGTACAGGGCTGGCGTTAGGGTCGGACACTATAGGGCGACCGTACAGGGTCTACAGTCTTACATAACCCTTTTAAATCCCTCCCCCCTCTCGCATAGTAAAAAGGGGGTGCTGTAGAAGGGCCCTAGTAGAGCTAAAACCGTTACTGCATAAGTAAACTGAAGTGTGTAGCAACTTCTCACATTATTTAAGATTGATCTAAAGCGTTCCGAAAGGACGGCGATTGACAAAATGAACGAAGATTGAATATTTTGACCCTAAGCTTTCTTGTGTTATACAATGGCCTATTGTCAAAATGGAATTGTCAACCTTATTGCAAAGATCAGTTTCTTTAGAAAAAAAAGGAAAGAGACATTTATATATTTATATAGTATAAATCTGATTCTGTCGTTACCTAGAAGTAAACGGTCTTTAGTCGATAGTCGATTGGTCTAATTATTATCAGTGTTTACATAGATGGATGGATGGATGTTTGCTTGAAGATATCTCCAGAACGGCTGAGCGGATCACGATGAAATTTAGCATACATATAGAACATAGTCTGGAAGAACACATAGCCTGCTCATTTTTTGTTTAATTCCACGCGGATGAAGTCGCTGGAAGCAGCTAGTGATTTTATAAAAACAACACCGACTTTTCGCACAATTCCGATTTCGTTCTTTAGAAATATCATAAAATCATTCTGTAGTGTGTTTGACAACAATAGGAGTAAATAAACTCCTCGTACTGCATTCCCGGAGAATCAATTATAGTCCGGCTGCCGGTGTGATAGATACGATATTATACTGGGGGCTGTTGACATACGAGGAATCAATTCAAAAGGCATATAGGCATATATATTCATATGTCCCAGCGATGCCAGTGACAACGAATATCGAATAACTTGACATTTGAATTTCTATTTTCAGCAATGCTTTAAAATTTTAGGGTTCCGTACCCTGACGGAAAAACGGAATCTTAAAGGATCACTTTGGTGTCCGCTGTTTGTCAGCTGAATCTGGAATTTATATCAAATACTCAGACCTACGGTACCTTGGATCTGTGAAAAAATAAAACTTCTAAGCCAACGCAATCAAAAGATACAGCCGTTTATGTCGCAATTTTTTTTCGTAGGAATATGACAGACGATTTTGCAATATGTTTGTCAGTATGTCTATTTCATAGTGACTTATTGCCTAAATGATTCGACAGAGTTTTTAATGTGAGGTATCTTTGGATTCGTATTTTAAACGTAGTCCGGCTTTTTAGGTGTTTTAATTAAAAAATGTCGTAATCTTTGCTGTATGTTTCGTTTGGACTAAGGTTGAACGCATTTCCCCATGTTCCGGTAACTTAAGTTTATTTAGGATTGTTAAAACAAGATGTATAATTTATTTACATCCGTCTATTAACTTTATATTTTACTGTTCATATTAATGAATGAAGATAAGCTAAAAAAATAAAAGAAAAAGAAAATAAGCTACAAAATTGAAAATCCGCATAGTTGCATACAATTGTATCGACATTTCTTTTGCTTTTAAATATACGTATTTTATAAAGATAATTAAACTGTCAATAATGATTAAATAAAAAATGAAATTAAAAAAAAGAATAATTTAAACGCATAAAAAGAACTTACCGTAAATTTTACGATAACAACGACTAAAACTATAGTAACCACAACACTAATTGTCACAAACAATTTAAATAATTAGTACTATTAATAAAGTTTATGAAACTTTCAAATTTCGCGATAGGGAAAATCCGTCCTGCGACATGCGACAACCTCAAAGGCCGTAACTCGACTGAAAGTTGCCACTAAGGTTAACCGATGCTTGCTCTACGTTACATCCTAAGTAAGAAAAATCTTTGAGTTTTAAAAGAAGACCTTCTCATTATAATGTTATTATTGTGTTAATTTAAATACGAGTATATATTAGGAATCTTAAGATACAAGAAAAAACTTAATTTAATAACTCTATATGACTGTGAAAAACTAGCGGTTACCTGCGCTTTCATTCGAGACAGACAAAAATTAAAATAATTGATTTACATTATAAGCAACGCTAATACATAATGCTTGCGATATATTTAATATTTCTTCGATATTACATACAGACACTCCAATTATATTAACTTTATAGACAGAAGATAACTAATTCGTTTTACGCACATTAAAAACTGATGGAAAAAAGAAGGAAAATGTCAGGTCAGGATTTTAATATTCTTGGTTAGGCTATACATATGTATCTTAACTTTTCAAGTTCAACTTGAACATATTTAAAGTGGTTTAACCAGAGATGATAGATTAAACACGAAATAGTCGTTAAGTTTTCAAATTTAATTTAATATCCCATCATTTTGGTGTGTGCTTTAGACGGTTGACAAGACGACATTTTGACATCCCTTTGTTGTGTGACAAAGATATAGTTACTACTGAGGATAACTTTATTAACATAATTAGAATGTCTTACTAATGTTAAATGCGAAAGTTTAGATGGATAGTTAAATGTTTGTTTGAAGACATCTCCGGAACTGCTGAACGGATCTCGATGAAATTTAGCATAGATGTAGAACATAGTCTGGAAAAACACAGAGGCTACATTCTTTTTTATTCCGTGCGGACAGATTTGCAGACAAACAACAGTAAGAGATCGTCATAGCCATCTTACTTCTTACTAATATTATAAATGCGAATGTTTGGATGGATGGATGTTTGTTAGTAGGTGTCTCCAAAAAGGCTACAGAACATAGCCTTAAAGAACACATAAACTACTAATTGTTTTCATTAAACTTATATAAAAACGGCTAAACACTCACGTATATTCCTCCGGGTAAATGAGGCTGGTATTATTTCGCGGCCCGTCGCTCAGTGAGCGAAACTAGTCGGTGCCGCCATCGGACGAATATACGTGAGTGTTTAGTTTTTTATAAGTTTATTATAATGTCACACGAAAGTTTGAATAATTTTATGTTTTCATAATGCGGAGACGGAGTCGTAGACAGCTAGTTATTAAGAATTATAATACAAAATATTCATTAAATGTATAAATAGATACACTGTAATTGAATCAAAGTTGTTAATATACATTTAGAGAAAAGCCTTGCTTGAGTAAACTGGCTGTAACTTGCTTCACTCTAATTTGCAAGTCAACTGAACTACTAACATTAAGCTGAATAAGGAAGAAGCAGTACAAGACGTTTGTTAGTCGTTCATCAGGCAAATGTGCTATAAACAACTTGATGACGCGAACAGATTTCGTGATCAGAGTGTTTCTATTTTAAGCTTAACATTTCTAGATACAAGAAAATATAATACCTACTTCAATACTATCGTAGTAATTGTAGTAAAATATAAGAAAAGGGAATAATTTCAAAGGTTACTCTTATACTTTTATATAAATAAAATGAACGTTGCGTCCGTACAGAGGTGACTTTCAGCTCGTTTACAACCACCAGAAGTTTATCAAGAGAAAAAACTAAACATACAACTAAAGAAAAAAAATTACAGCTCATAGCAATTAACTATACAAAAAAAATGTTAATAAAAAAAATATACTGATGTTCATTTTGTATATTATACCATACATACAACTTTATGAATATATACGATCACTATAAAACAATTTTTAACTATTTTTTTTTTAATTTTAGTTTTTTTGCTTTTCTACAAAAAATAAATCTTGCCACAATAAGAGTTTATTAAATAGTGTTAACAAAATAGTTATAAAACTGTATTTGAGATTGAAATAGAAATATATTAAACGAAGCGAAATAAGTATTAGCTAAACAATAAATCCACTTCCAACTACAAACAAGTTTCAAAGCAGAGAACAAACTAGCGCTTCCAAGCTCCAATACTGCAAGAATCTTGCAGCAAGATATTTCATAAATATTAAACGTGTTTGCATGTGATTTGTATTACTAGCATATTCCCGCGACTTCATTCGTGTAGAACTAAAAAACTTAATTAGTAGCCTACGTGTTCTTCCAGATTATGTTCTACATTTACATATGTCAACGAGATCGGTTTAGCGATTTTGGAGATAATTTAAAACAAACATCCATCCATACATTTGAATATTTACAATACGAGTAAGACAATTGAAAATACGATTATCCTTTATCGAATGAATGAAATGGGACACCCTGTTACTTGAGATATCTTAACGTTCAGTCTTAAATTATTGCGTTAAGTTATCTAAGGCTTAAGGCTACAAGCCTAGTGACTATTATCTCAACTGAGTATAAAACTATTAATTTCCTTTCAATCCTTAAGGATAACGTGCAATATTTTATTACTATTTGGTAAAAAGCACTAATATTGAACGGGTAACGATTATTTTAAGTGTTCCGTACCTCGAAAGGTAAATTGTAACCCTTATATCACTTTGTTGGTTCGTTTGTCTGTCTGTCAAAACTTATTTTTAATTACAAGATGATATTGTATTATAAAAACATAGGTTTTTTCTATTATAAATGTATAATATTTATAGAGACTGGGAACAAGGAAATTTTTTATTTTATGTTACTACAGGGCAGTACGGAAAATGAAAGCTTTTAAAAACTTTTCCTAAATTGTCATTGATTTTTACACCACAAGAATAAAAATGTCGCTTGAGGCAACTCAAAGACCTCTTGTAAGAATGTTTTCAATGTTATTCCACTTGTAGGGCACGAAGAATACTTTTCTATTATCAATTTTTACTTGGAACTTGAAAACAGCGAAAATATTTATGGTCTTTTTCATTTTTGTGTTCTTTATTAATCTTACTAATATTATAAATGTGAATGTTTGAATGGATAAAAGGATGTTTGTTTGAAGGGATCTCCGTAACGACTCAACGGATCTTGATTAAATTATGCACAGATGTTGAACATAGCCTGGATCAAATAGGCTACTCATTAATTTTTATTCCACACGGTGGGAGTCGCGGGCTACAGCTAGTGTTTATAAATTCGGTATTCATTGTTTCGTAAATATGCATTCGAAAGTTCCAAATTCAAACACTCGTTGAATCCTTTATCAGGAGTTTGTTTGGGTTACCAGAGGGTTTATATTTCGCATTTTATTTACAAACATTTATTTGGGCGTTTTAATTGTTCGGTCTCAATACGGAATGCTAATTTTCATAGTTATTCAGACATTAAATTTAAATTCTTAATTATATTATGTATATGATAAAGTAAATAAAATTGGTTTTTTAAACATTGAAAGTATCTTGTATTGAACAGAACAGACATCTAGCTAATATCTAAAACGAATGTTGTAAATGAATCATAGCTAAGTTCTGTGGACGCCCTCTTCTCCACTACGGGATAAGTTCTAATAAAAAGATTTTAAAATTAGAATAACGCTATATAGCGCTTTTCTGTCATATCTCGTCATAATTGTTGTTGCCTAGACCTGAAGAACTAAATTCAGATTCAATTATCTCGTACATGCTATTGGATGTAGCAATGTTTTCCGTTGACGGACACATCATTAATTATTGTGGCCAATTATCGTACATACAATTTAAAATATTATCCGTGAGTATAACCTTTATCAACTGTTACATTTCTATTGGGCGTAGTTTTATGCATCCAATTTCAATTTCAAAATAGTCGTTTGTTTCAAAGCTGCACAATACAGTACCCGATATTGAGAAGCTACAATTCTGTTTGTTCCGTTTGTATGAATATTCAACTGTTTCGTTTGAAGCTATGACTGTATTGACTTTAAAATACATATGCGTTTTGCATTTTAGAGAGTCTGAGCGCATCCAGTGAGGTTTTTGTAATATTTATTTACATCTAAAGATCGTAATTTGTCAATTTTCGATAGTATATGTATAACTATGTATGTTTTCAATTTATTATTTATTGTGACTAGTTATATAAACACGTCTCGATTTTGTTAAGAGTAATTTATTTCGTATTTCTTCTCGGATTTTTATTAGTTAAAATGTCGCGTAGTACGTTGTATATACAGACTAATTTCAGACATGTATGGTCTTCCATCCGGTTTTAATTCATGAAATTGCGCCCTAAATGGTCCATTCGTCCGCACACCGCACAACACGGCTCGCAACGGATTTAGTCTGCTTTGTATTGTTAACTTAGCGCTTCGTACACCATCCGTGCCGTCCTCATCAAAATACAAAGCAAATCCCTTTAATCTGTGCGTGCGGTGCGTTCGGCGCGGATCAATGGACGCGTACCTTGACTCCGCATAACTCCGCCCTTGGTGCTCCGATTTCATTTTTTTTTATCGAATGGTTTTGCTTCTAGTCATAAGAAATCAATGTATATAAAAACGGCTAAACACTCACGTATATTCGTCCGGTGGCGGACGGACATACGTGAGTGTTTAGCCGTTTTAATATAAGTTTATTATAATGTCTCACGAAAGTTTGAATAGTTGGTCATAAGATTTACTGGCCGTAAGCTAATTGGGCCTTTGCCTCTTTCTTATAAAAAAATGTTTCTTATAATCTAGATGAGATAAAAGACTTTACCTTATCTAAGCATTCGAAAGTGCGTTCATTAAATGTAATAATGACTGTACTGGATACACAAGGGACCTCGCTTTATCTCAACTTTATTCATTAAAGTTTTCGTAATGGCCAGTTAGCGTGCCAAGGAGATAGGGTAATAAAATTTATTATAGCAATCGAATATGCTCATTACTTAAATTAAATCCGATGTTTGTGTAATCCTAAAAATATATTGCATTTGAATAAAGTACGCGAAAACTACGATAACGATAGCTATCCCCCACGACTCCGTCCGCGCGAGATAAAGAAAACAAACCTAATTTATATCTTTATCTTCCAGACAATGTTCTACATCTATGCCAAATTTCATCGAGATCCGTTCAACAGTTCTAGAGATACCTTCAACCTATCAACCATCCATCCATCCATCTAAACATTTGCATTTATAATATTAATAATAAGTAAGATTACGCTAGATGGTGCCTTTAATATGTATTTTGCTTTAATATTTTCACAGTCGACTGAGCCAATTATGTGAGACTAAGTCTCGATTGGGGCATGATCCCTGGCCGTTGTCGCGGGAAGGACGTCGTTTACGAAAGTATCGGCGCGTGACAGCTTCCATAAAAGACCCTTATTATGAAATTGATTGAATTTTCTTATAAATAGAACATTATATCGTTTAAGCTTATACTTAATTCAAGGCTTACACGAGTAAGTACGAATCTAGGAACAGATTTATCGTTTACTTGAGTATCCTAAGAGGAATTAGAAAAAAACAGTTTTTTTCTTTTTAGTAATATTTTATTGAATTTAGACAATCATGAGTTAATCTATAGTCATGACTAATATAATATTGAAAACACTGAATATGAAGATTTCACAATCTGAAAGAAATATTAAATTAGTATTGAAACAAACAAATGTATATATATAAAAGAAAGTCGTGTTAATTATACTATTTGTAACTCAAGAACGACTTTAACGATATGGTTGAAAATTAGCAAGGAGGTAGCTTAGAGCCAGGAGACGGACATAGGATACTTTTTATTCATTTTTTTTTTCGAATTTGTGCCGTGAAGAGCTGCTTTTCATTTAACTTATCTATAAATTAAGTTTTTTTTATATATCCACGCGGACGGAGTCGCGTGCGACAGCTAGTATTATATTTTTATTCTATAAAATGTGCGATTCTACTAAAGTAGCAGTTACAAAATAAATAGCAATTGTTAAGTTAAAAGATAATAAAAAAAACTTACAGAAACATAAGACTGGTACGATAACTCAATTATACCAAAACTGCGCAGTGTCACTTGACGCTGTAAATAATAAATCTTAATATAATTATCAATAAAAAAGAATCAAATTCATTAACAATAGTAACTCGTAAATAGTTTATACCTGACTTTGTGCCATCGCAATAACTAACAAACGCCTGATTCGAACTGAACAATCTTTCTGACAGTTCTCCCAACCAGAACTATACATGGCAGTGCTGAGTAGAGATGCCTACAAATAAAAAAGTCAAATCATAATTTCATGAAATAACACGAACAACTTCTAAAGATACTCTAGGCTAAGGAACTACAGCCAATATGTCAAGAATTTAACTACCTGTATTTTGTTCTATCATTTAAGGTTTAAGATATGTGTGAAGTCAAGCAACCCACACTTGGCCAGCGTGGTTGACTATGGCCTAGTCACCCCAAACTTAGGTTAGGCTCCGAGCCCCTCGGTGGGGACGTTTAGTGAGCTGATGATGATTTAAGGTCTAGACATGATTCTATATGTAAAATAATGATTCTATGAAGTTCATAGGTATACCTCAACAGTGACGTCACCAGCACTCCACATAAAGAATCCAGTGCTGATAAGCATGGTGACTCCAGTGGTGATAGTAGCCAGGGCATTGCTCAACGTGCGCTCTGAATTCTGATGATGTCAGATTAAAAGATTGACAATTATGATAAGCCAGTGTCCCTGATTAATGCATTCAAATATATTTTGCATAAAAACCATCCCATAATAGTAAGTATTTTGGACATTACTAGCTGTCACCCGCGACTCCGTCCGCGCGGGATTAAAAATAGATCTTGGCCGATTCTCAGACCAACTCAATATGCTCACAAAATTTCATGAGAATCGGTAAACAAAAATTGTGACAAGGGAATTTTATATATAAGATTAGAATCCTTTGGAGCGCTTTCGTTACAAAGTCAAGTGTCAGAATGATTAGTGTGGGGACATAAACTTTGACATTTTAGTAAGACTAGTGTTGCGCCAGTACACCGGCATAGTGTCGGATTTTCTTCCTAACAGTATATTCGAAAAATTCCTCCCGAAGAGATAGTATTCCATTGACAATCTACAGAATTTTATTAGCAATCACATAGTCTATTGCCCACAAAAAGTAAGGTTTGAAATTATATTAACACTTACCACCATCTGCAACATGAGCAGACAAAGAACAGAAATGTTTACCAATATCTGACCACTGAAAACTATTCCACAAGCAGTCTCACTTTGTCTGGTACACCTAAAAGAATATATGTCTTAAAAACTCACATTAAGATCTCACACTTCTGCCAATTTCATTAAACTTACCATAAGGTATCCGAATGTAATTTTATCCCAATCATCACTGAATCTTCGTACTTTTTCTCCTTTTCCTCTTGACTTAAATCGTGTTCATCAAATATTTCAACAAGATCATAAAAGTAGCTCCGTAGATTCTTGTACTGATGACTTAGACAAGATGTTAGGCAGATAACTAGGACATATATCGCAGACATACGGGTCATGAAGATCCACCACAGAATGTAACTGATTACTCTTGCAATATTGGCATATATACTTCTATCTTCTACATCAGGCCAAGCAGTAATAACTGTAGTGAAGGTTCCATCTACAAATATTATGATTCTATAACAAGCCTGTAACCCGAATAAGTAGACAGATTGCAACCTTTAATTTGATGAGGTCCTAGTACATCACTCTCGCCTCTTTTATTCTCTACGCATGCATTCTCATCGATTTTTATCTATTGTTCCAAAATAAATCGACAAAAACACATAGAGTTAACAAGCCTATTTATTTAGTTTTTAGAATATATTAAATAAATGAGGAGTGTCTTAGTGTAACTCATTAGCTTACTCTTTATGATAATTGTATTTTTGTACCAGTTTTTTCTATTGAATCAATCAAAAAGACTTTACATATTCCATACTATTCGTTGCTTTCTCAGACCAAAATCTCCGTATAAAAAATATCTTTTGTTTTAAGCGGAGTTTTGGTCTAAGAAACCTACAGTGTGGTAGGTAAATAATTAATTTACCTTTCTTCAGCACTTGCATCAGACCATCAATCCCATACGATATTAAAGCACTACTAAAACTGAATAAATACGCAGCTGAATACAATTTTGATTTTCGAATCATATGACGTTCAACTTTTTTATTATTATAAACATTTTTTAAATCAACAGTTAACGTGTGTATGATTTTTTGTAACTTCTCTTTATGATATTCGATGCTTGTGTAATAATTAATTAATATCGGATGAGAAAGACCGAATAAAAATCTATCTGATGATTGCTTTTCTGTTAAATTCGGTTGAGTGAAAAATGCTAATATTTCTAAAGTAACAAAGATATATAAGCATATTGTAATAACTTTACTGATCCTTCTATTAATCGTTGACAATTTATGATCCATTGAATCTAGCCATAGGTTGGATACACCAAAAAAATATAGGTAACCGTTTAAAGTCTTAAAGAAACTTGCAGTCAAATTCTTTGCGGACATTTTTGGACTTTGATACAAAATAAATCTTTTCTTTCGTATAGTAGTAGTGTCTTTATAGACTGAAGTAATATTCATGACAAAATTCTAATTTATATGCCATCTTCGATTATTCTACAGGGTCGTATTGTGGTTTATAATTATTTTTTTCCTTTTTAAAAAAGTAAATTACGTCACAGGAGAATAATTATTAGTCGACTTCATTTTATGCAATAAAATGGTTATCTTTAAATTAAATAAAACGGTTTAAGTAGTAGTATTCATAAGTAGATTTTATTATAATAATAGTTGTTAGTAGTAAATTTTTATCTTTTTAGTCACGTTTTTTTTGGGATTTTTGTCTTTATCAGACCTGTAATAGTACTAAATAGTTCTGAGATTATTTTATCAAATAAAATCTAATGATCGAACTCAATTCGAACAAACTTTGAAATGTATTTAATCTAATCGGTTTTTGATTAAAAGATTCCACATTAAAATCCGTACCTGTCGTTTTTCCAAAATTACACTAACCCTATCAAATAATTTCGTTATATTCAAATTGACATGATTGTTTTAATTACCATTTTAATTGTTAACAAATAATTACTTGTACTTGTAATATTAACAGCTATAAAAATACTAGTTGACGCCCGCAACTCCGTCCGCGCGGAATTGAAAAACAAACATAGTATGTATCAACATCTTTATCAAATTTCAAAGGAATATCCATGCAGGTGTTCTTGAGACCCCTCGTAATAAACATCCATCCAAACTTTCGTATTTATAATATTAGTAAAATTTGCTGGATAATTAAAATAATAATAAAAATTTAATAATCTTTATGAGTTTGTCTCTGGCAAATTTTAGCTTCAGTAGTCAATTACTTGTAATAATTACTCGTTAATTTATAAGATAATTGCAAAGGGTAATTTCACTGACTACTAACTACCTGCTAATTACAGGTCAGAGAAATATTTCACTACTTATGTACATTTTAAGTTTAATTATATAATCACGAAAACTCGTTGTGTCATGATATTAATTTCTAGTAAATCATATAATAGAAACTTATTTTTCTACAATTATATCTTCTTTTCTTTATTATCTTTGTTACGTATGTAAAGCTTTCAGCTTATACTCTCAGATTCTTTTACAACCATATAAAATCGTATTTCTATCTCTATTGTTTCAATGCGAATGAAAGGGATGAGTATATTATGGTACTGTCTGTTGCCCGCGACTCCGTTCGAAGCTTACGAGCTAAATACTCTTCCAGATTATTTTCTATATCTGTGCCAAATTTCATCAAGATCCGTTGAGTCGAGGCGGAAATGCCTTCTAATAAACATTTATCCATTTATCTAAATTTTCACATTTATAATATTTGTAAGACAAATATTATAACAATGGAAATCCATAGTAAAAAGTGTAAAAATTAATACTTGATTTAACAATATGTTTTCGAATTTATAAAGAAACTAGCTGTCTCCCGCGACTGCGTCCGCGCTGTATTAATAAAACATAATTAGTAGCTTGTGTGTTCCTCCAGACTATGTTTTATGTATAAAATTGTGTGCCAAAGATCAGCCGTTCTGGAGATACATTCAAACAAACATCCATCTAAACATTTGCATTTATAATAATAGTAAGATGTAATTTCAATTGAATTAATTTAACCTTCAAAGTTTAAGTAATAATTTCCAGACATTGTTCAACACTTTTCGGTCGAACGAGCGAAAATATAATTTCACTTTTACCCACGAAGCTCGCTTAGTTCAGAGGTGATATTTTCTAAGAAATAATATTTTCCCCGGAAAATTTGTTGAAAAAACGATTTTATTACAGATTATTGAAGCAAGAGAAAAGAAAATTTCCTCCAAACTTTATTTAGACAAATTGTTTGTTGTTTAATTATGTGTTAAATTTATTTTATTATCATTTGTTATTTTATTTAGATCTTCAACGAAACTTTAGTTCCAAAAAGCTTTTAAAAATTATATATTTTGCTCTTTATATACCCAGTATCAAAATCAGTTATGAATTATATAGCACAGATATGGAACATAGTCTGGAAGAATTAATAGATTTATTTAAGTTTTTTTTTAATTCCCTGAGACAGAGTTGCAGGCGACAGCTAGCAGATAACATTGTTAATATCACAAACTTTATATAAATGAAAATATAATATATCCCAGAACATTATTTACTAAACTTTCCTTTTGAAATCAGCTACCGATTTCTTCTAATCTATCCGGCAACTGTACAAGATCAAAGCAACTTTTATCTAGTCCGAATTTCACTCACAAAGCGATACGTTCCCGAACAGTTCGTAACTTTGACTTGTCATCGATTTGTCTAAGCTTTGACCCAAAATAGATGAGATAGACGAATATTTGAAGCAAGAAGATGAAATGAAACTCGTATTTTAAAAAACGAAGCGATTAAATGCAAAAAAATAATAATAATAAGGCCGGCAACGCATCTGCAGTTCCTCTGGTGTTGCAGATGTCCATAGGTGTCGCTGATCACCTCGGTGTTCCCGCCGCTCGTTTGCCCCCTTCTCTTATAAAAAAAAATAACAAATGTGGTACCAAGAACTATCGCCCGTAACCCAGAGTGTAGGCAGGGACCACAGACCACTATTTGGCGCGTACATACAAATGATACTAAGGTTTAAATCATTTCATGTATAGGGAACATCATTTGCTTACTTTAGTCTGATGTTTCAAGCATACTGTCTTTAATAAATTAGATAGTAGCATTGGCCAGTCACTTCTTAACATAAAGCTTTAGTTCGTTCGTCATAAAAATGTAGTTATAACCTTTCTTATTAATATTTATATGACACAATCCCTTTCAATACAGTATAAAGAACTTTTCAATCTGTAAATACAATGAATTACTCAACTTAAAGTAAGTTTTTAGCTCAGTCTTCTCTGTACATTGTCTAAGTTTATTAATCATTTATCAGACGACAGAGAAGACTATAAGATATACAACTAATTCTTTAAAATTATCTAGAATTCTTTATAAAATTTCTAAGAAATAAATATAGCGCTGTTTTAAATTAACCAAGGTTTTCTTAAAATCTGTTAAATTCAGTCATTTCTATCAAAAAGCGTGATTGATAAATAAACTTATTTTGGAATTCTAATCACCACTAAGAATCATTAAATAGTCATCATCATCATCATCAGCTCACTATACGTCCCCACCGAGGGGCTCGGAGCCTACCCTAAGTTGAGGGTGATTAGGCCATAGTCAACCACGCTGGCCAAGTGCGGGTTGGTTGACTTTACACATATCTTTGAATTTCTTCACAGATATGTGCAGGTTGCATCACGATGTTTTCCTTCACCGTAAGAACGTCGGATAAATGTACATATGTAAATCGGAAATCGAAAGACACATTGGTACATGGCGGGATTCGAACCCAGGACCTGCAGATTGCAAGTCAAGTGCTTGACCCCTGAGCCACCGACGCTCTCTTTGTATAAATTTAGTAATGTTCAACAAAGAACGGCTTAAATCACTTTTGATGGATATGTGAACGAAATAGTAAAATTGTAAATATATTCATGAATTAAATTACACAGTCTTAACTAAATATATCTCGTTATCTCCTTAAAATTATTACACATTACACGCGTATATGGAATTACATAATAATTCATAAAACACAAGTTTCATGTAGACGTTACCTGTCACTCCGGTTATTGAAAAACACGTTTACATCATTACTTACCTGTCGAGTAAAACATTTTTCAATTTCATTGTACTTGTAATACACGTTCGAGAATTAGATATACATGTTTAAATGTATTTCGGTCTTAGAAAACAAAAGTAATGAATACAGAGAAGCAAAAGCTCACAGACTCCGATGACTGGACCACCTTATGAGGATGAGGGAATATCGGAAAGTCAAGTCGGCGTATCTCGGGACTCTGATTGACCACCGACCCATCGGCCCAGATACCACTGGCGGTACGCCGTAGAGCTGGACCTGCGGGAGCTACAAGTAATGGACTGATGCGAGACAGCACAGGATAGGTAATTTTGGTGATTTCTTGTGTCGGTGGCTAAGATCCACTTTAGGTCACTGCGTCAGAGGAGTAAGTAAGATATTGGGTATGTTGGGGGTAAATTGACTCATTCTGTCATCTGTCATCATCGCGAAAGGACGTGTAGTGAATTGCGAAGTAATTGCATTTAATTTCAATTGTTTATTTTTTACTAAACAACGTGAGCAACGGAGTTTTGGAGTTCAATAACTATTAGCTATTGTATGCTGGATAATTAGTTCTTATTATAATGAGAACTTATTGATTTTTCTTGTTATTTAAATGCTGAAAGTCTTGAAGGCAGTAAACATTTATTACCAACATTACTACACGGCCTTCCAAAGACCCGTTTGTCACAATTGTACACAATTTCAATAACAAAACCAATATCGTATCATAAATTTATATTTGAAACATCGAAACAAATGTTATTCGTCGTACAATGGGAACTCAAACGAATCCAATGCATATGCAATAAGGTTGTGCCTGAAGTTTATGACACATGAATGTTTTGTTCGAACAATTTTATTGGATTCATTCATTTTAAAAAAACACATCAAATTGTACAACATTAATATTATATTTTAAGCGACTTCAAAAAGGAGCAGGTTTTCAATTCGTTTATGTTTTTTCCTGTCAATAATTCCGCCCCTAGTTGTCCGATTTTCATATTTTTTTTTATTCGAAAGGTATTGCGTGTCATTTTCAGTTACAAATTGAATAAGGTGCTATTATAACATATAACTAGATTTTGTCTAAACATATATAATACATAGAGTATGGTGTGAGGTAACGTATTTGGAACTTTTATTTCTAATGCGAAAAATAAGAAGATTTTTATTTATAATCTCTCTTCTTTTGTTTTCTAGACATTCTAGACTAATTAATCATTATATAAACATCTTTAAGCAACAATTAATATAAAGTAAATTATTGCTCTGTTTATTTTAAGAAGAAAAT